CAAGGAAAGCACAAATAATGCCCTAGAAGAATTCAGGAAAATATACAATAGCAAAATGAAAAAATAGACATTTAGAAACCATACAAAAATAGCAAATAGAGACCAGAAAATTAATACTAAAATTTTAGAGTTAGATAACACATTTGGGTGACAAAAGAGTAGGATTAAGTCAATTGAAGACGGTTCATCAAATCAGAACACAAATTCCTTGACACAAATTTGTACGAGGAAAAAGTCAGAAAATAAAATGAAGAAAGCCTAAAAATTATATGGGATACCATCAAGAGGAAAATATTACCTCTAACTAACTGGAATACCAGAAAAGGCAGAGGCAAAAAACAAGAAACCCAAAGAGAGAATTGTTGATTTGCTAGCAGAAAAACTTCCCAAATATCATGAAAGATGAAAAGATATTCATCCAAGAAGTTCAACAAACCCCATACATGATTTAAGAAACAAACAAACAAACACTAAACTCACTGCCATCAAGTTGATTCTGACTCACAGAGACCCTCTTTGGGTTTCCAAGGCAGTAAATCTTTATGAAAGTAGATTGCCCAGTCTTCCTTCTGCAGAGTGAGTAGTGGGTTTGAACCGCCAACCTTCTGGTTAGCAGTCAAATGCCTTAGGCCCTACACCACCAGATAAACCCCTCAAAAAGTAACCAAGACATATCATAACCAAACTTTCTAAAATCAAAGACTGAGAAAGGATATTGAGAGCAGCTTTGGAAAAATGAAATGTAACATATAAAGGAAAACAAATCAGATTAACTTCTAACTTCCCATCAGAAACCATGTAGGCAAGAAGGTAATGGGATAAAATATAAAAAACTCTAAAAGAAAAAGAAAATCTCAACCAAGAATTATACATTCAGCAAACCGTCCCTCAAATATGATGGTGAAATTAGGACATTTCCAAATAAACAGAAATTAAGAGAATTTGTGAGAACCAGATCAATCTTACAAGAAATGCTAACGGGAGTCCTTAGGATATCAAACAAACAACATCAGACAACCTGAGATTAAGAGACATAACAACATCACCTGGAAACCAACCCAGAACAAGGCCCCTCAAAAATAAAATAACCTTACAAGACTAAAAATAGAGAGAACCAGTGGCCTCAATCTCTCAATGTAGTTGTCAAACTGCAAAGCAAAAAGAGATGGAATAAATGGTACAACTACAAAATTTCCAAATGTAGAGGAAGTCAGGATGAAATCAAAATAGAAGAGACTGTTATAAACTCGGGGGGGGGGGGGAATTGTAGGGTAATGACAAAGAAAATTAATAAACCTTGTAACCCAAATAAGAAAGAAGGAAATCATAAGGACTCAGTAAGCACAAAATCAACAACAATGAAAAGAATATCTGATAACAAAATGAACATGGCACAGAAAAATGTATAGAACAGAGAAATCATCAACACCAATAAAAAAAAAAAAAACACAAAAGAATGAGAGCAGTAACTTTGTAATGCTCATTAATTGCACTGAATGTAAATGGATTAACTGCAACCATCTAGAGAAAGAAGAGTGGCAGAATGGACAGTACCCATCAATATAAACAACTCACCTTAGACACAAAGACAAAAATAAATTGAAAATAAAAGGATGGAAAAAAGTATACCAAGCAAATAGTAACCAAAAAAGAGCAGGAGTGGCAATATTAATATCTGATTAAAAAAAGACTTCAAGGCAAACACCAGCATAAGGAACAAGGAAGGGCATTATATAATGATTAAAGGGTCAATCCAGCAAGTGAACGTAACCATAATAAATATCTACACAGTCAATGAAAGAATACCAAAATACATAAAACACACATTAACAGAATTCAAATGAGAAACAAACAACTCCATCATAAAAGTAGGAGACTTGAGCACACCATTTTCAATGAAGGACAGAACAATGGGAAAGAAAATCAAGAAAGATACAGAGTAAGTAAACACCACTATTAATAAACTTGACCTCATACACCTACAGAACACTTCAACAACAACAGCTCTATACATATTCTTTTCCAGTACACATGAGTCATTCTCCAGAATAAGCTATGTGTTAGACCACAAAACAAGCCTCAATAAATTTTAAAACAGAAATAATACAAAGCATCTTCTTAAATCACAATGCTATAAAATTAGACATCAACAATAGGAAAAAAAAACAAACTCACTGCTGTCAAGTCAGATCCAACTCATAGCGACCCCTCCTTGGATTTCCGAGGTGGTATCACTACACAAGTAGATTGTTCAACCTTCCTTCCAAGGAGTG